TGGTCCCTTTGATCTCCATCGCTCGATAACTGTCCCATCATCCTTAATTGCCAGAATATGGTCCCTCCAACTATAGTTTCAAACTAAATACGGTCCCTCCGACCGCCGTTGATTGATTTTAACTGGGCCATATATGCCCCATGATTTTTTCCTTTAGTGGATTTTCTATGTAAAAATATGGTTTCTCTTATGATTGACGCACCCCTATCTGTTATATATGTGTGTGTTGAATCTTCGTACAAAGTTATGACATTAAACTCTCTATTTCACCACCATTATGAATGTTTTGGTACACAACAAAGACAATTTATAAATAATATCATAAGTGAATAAAAAATTAATTTAATATTGCAGCTAAATATTTAGCTTTTTATAATTTAAGGACTCGAAGCATGCATTATTTTATGCAATAGAGATTAAATTTAATTGAAAACACACTTTAAATAATCTTATAAGAGCTAGCATAACCTTAATTAACTATATTTATATTATTGGTTCAAAAGGAAGCATAATAGTTCACATCAAATAGGCATTCTATCATACTATGATGTTTACTTCCTAAAATTGTTCCTTTGTATTAAACTTACTGATGTTGTAATTGAATAATCTTGGGCTTGTAGGATTCACTTTATCGAGCTACTTATTTTAACTGTAAACATGCAAAATATACAGGACTTTTGACACACCAAATTCCTTAAAGAAGTTTTTAAACGTACTTATGGATACTTAATTTAGGTCCAAACAGATTTAGATCAAATTAGTTCAAGAGGTTTTTCCTCTCAATTAGATAATTAAGATTGGATTAAAAATATTAAATACTTGTAGAACCTTCTATATTTAGTAGAGAATGATGGTGAAGCAATGAAGATTGATAACAACAAACAAAAGATGAATATGAATCACTGGATATCAGTGTCACTGTGCCAAATTATGGCTCAGGGAGATGCTCATCGAGTGAAAATGATCGAGCTATGACAATTGTGCAACAACTACGAGACAACAACTATCAAGTGAACGAGCTATGACAATTTTGCATCAAATCATATGAATTATCAAGTATATACATCGCATGTACATAAAAATGTAATCAAACTACTATCGAGTTGAGCTTGACTGTAGTGGTGAAGCCATAAATTTTTAATGGGGGCCAATATTAACCTTTATTCAGCTGATTTTTATATTCAGATTAAGGCTTCGTTTGGGACGGCTTTTTTATTGCTTTCTAAAACGGAGCTTTAGTACAAAAATAAAAAAAATTGTACTAAAACTCCGTTTTAGAAAGTAATAAAAAAGCCGCCCCAAACGAACCCTAAATTAATCACTTTATTGTTTATATATATTATAAAAAATCTATATACTTTATGAAGATATGCTTGCAAAATTCATTTGATTTTTTTTTTTTTTTTTTTTGTAAACTCGCTTGGAGAAGCTCCCACACTGACTTTTCTAATTTCGGTTGAGGGGGGGGGGTGATGTTTAACTTATTGTATAAATGAGCTTATAAAAATTAATTGAACACAAATTAATCATCAAATCCCGTACAATCAAATTTAAAAAATGTTTTTTTTTTTTCGCAACCCTACTCTTAAACAAGAAGAATTATATATATATATATATATAATAAGCTTTTATTAAGGAGCCTATTTTAAATATGTCAAATATTGTACTGTAATTTTGTACCTTTCTTTCTCATATGATTACTCGTACCTTTCTTTGCCGGCTCGGCTTCATTCATATTTCATCCCATCCCAAAACATAAAGAGGCGATCCACTATTGCTTTATTTTCTCATAATTTATATAGTATTTGTGCCAATTGTACTAAGTTTCTATTCTATTCAGAAATAAAAAAATATAAACATAATACTTGAATTATATTATTCAGAAATTTAGCATTATTTATCTCCCTTGAATTTTTAAATTTCTCCCTCAAATTTCTCATATATAATATATATATATTATATATATAATATATATATATATATATATATATTATATATATATATATGTGTGTGTGTGTGTGTGTGTGTCTGTGTGCGCGCGTGTGTGTGCGCGCGCGCGCGCAAATATGTTACCCAACAAATATATTTTAAATTTCTCAATACGAATTGTTTTCATTGGTCTCATTCCCAATTCTCCTACCGACCCTCCAAACTTTAAATGCCTCAAGTCTCGAGAGTACGAGGCGCTCCTAAAAGGTGGTCATGAGGCTCATAACATCATTTATCAACCCTCTCCGTAGAACATCACAAGTATCTCTGAGTCTGTGATGGCTGCATTTATCCTTCTGCAATATACTTAGATTATAATGTATATACAAAAAAATTACTAAAATTTATTAAAGTTCTTACCAATTGTCATCTATGATCAGTGTGTGGAACTGAGCCCCCAGTATGTAGGGAGTTTCCCAAGCCTCCGATGTTAGAAGCTCTATTATGTCTATTCTACTCCCTCCTCATTGTATAGTCTAGACTAACCCAAGCACTCCTGAGCTCAGCCAATACACCTTGGCCAATCCAAAGAAGACACTTGCATGTCTTCTTAATGTGAGTAAACATGTCTCGCAGGCGAGTCGCTTTGCATTTCTCAAAATTTGTTCTGATACAAGTATCATGCTCTGCAACTAATAGAAATCTCGATGCACACAATAAATTGAAAAAAATATAATCTTTATTAGCTTAATTAAAAATATACAACTGTTAATAATGTTATGACTTGCTAACCTCAAACTCCCTTATCCATGTGTCATGCACTTCCTTTGAGATTTTTTTCCAAGAGACATATGGAGCATCAAATATGCTCCATATGATATCCCGGATCTTCTGTTTGGGTTAGTTTAATGGATAAAACTTACATAAAATATTTAGTTGAAAAATATTTTTTCACAAATATGTATATATAACATATACATTTATGTACATGTCACCCTCAAGCTCAATCAACATGCACCCATCCGTAGTCGGTGCTACGGTAGCCTATGTGGAAGGTCCAGCTGTATTAGGGGTGGAAGATCCAACTACATAGGTCTGAGGGGGATAGGGATAAGTAACAAGAAATATCGAAGAAGATAGTGGGGAATAGTACGGGTAAAAGGAAGCGGTCTGCGCAAGGTCTAGAGACGGAAAGAGGGGTTATGGGGTATAAAACTATTGACTCCCTACAGAAACTGTAGGCAAAGGGGCGCTAGGCTGGGTATGAGTGGTAGGCTGTGAAGTGTACATCCCCTATGCACCAGATCATCCACCAATTCTAGACCTAGGCCTAAAAATATTTTAGAATGATTGCGTATGGGTCACATCTCCTTTATAAGACACCTGCAAAAAATAAAAAGCCAATTAGCTATAATTTGTATATTTATAAAAAGGGCAACAAATAAGTAAATGTTCTCCTCAATGTCCAAGTCTACCTCCTTTAACAACAACAACTTAATCTCATTAGCAGCAAGTTGATCATCTACATCATTAGCATGCTATGTAAAGTTCAACATGCACTCTTATAGATGTGCTGTTGGTATTGATGGAGTATTCTCAATGACCCCCCTAGGTTTAGTCTTGATGACTACAAGCCAAATTTGTTTACCCCTCAGTCTACCTGGATGGTTAGCAAAGAAGACTTGGGCAGCCTAGCTAGCAAAGACAATGGGTAGTATTTTTCATATCTTCTATCTCATTTTACTTCTGTAATACCATAAAGTGGATGCACCCTTGTTCCTCTGTTTGGCATTGGATCAAACCAATCACAATTAAAAAGATATAAATTGTGCCCTTGACCAAGATATTCCAACTATAGGACTTCCTGCAAGACTCCATACTACTCATAATCATCACATGTATGATTATTCACTTTCACACCAAGCTTTGGTTTGAAATCTGTAACTGTTGACAATAAAAATTGGTCAAATTTTCATTGCTCTCATAGGTCCCAAAACTTGACTCATTAAACCATGGTCTTGTAAATCTTTGGATTTATTATGGACCTAGTTGATGTAAAAAGTTAATTAATTATATTTAAGGTTGAAGTGACTTATCAAAATACATACCACATAGTGGAATTTTAGTAGTAATAGATCTAGTGTTGAGATTTTGGAATTGAGTGATCAATTTATGAAAAAGATTGCATGCTTTAGATATCTCAAGTTTGAATCATGGTTACCTTTACAGCGAGCTTCAGTTGTTGTTCTGATCCAACAAAACCTCTGTTTCCCTCCTTTTTCCCTAAATCCTAGATTTAATAAACGTTTAGTTCGGCTGATTTAAGGGATTTGGCGAAAGGGAGATAGTTACCTTCATAGGAAACGAGCTCCCATTGTTGCTTCCTAACCCAATCCAATAGGAAGGATGTCGTCGAAGGAGCGAAGTTGAACAGGGACGAAGGAGATGAAGAAAATCAGCGAGGGGTCCAGTTAAAAAATGAGTGAATATCAGTGAGAACTCGCGAGTAAGGAATGTCATCAACGAAGGACGCGAAGCTAGGTCAAGCAAATGAAAGAAATGAGCTAGATATCAGTTCATATAAACTTATTTGTGACGAATTTGTGGTGGATTTGTGACGAATTTTCCGCAGCAAATATGCCGCAATTCCGTCACAAATTTTGTGCCGAAAATTTCTGTCACAAATTTATCACAATTTTCTCGAAACTATTTATGTTGCAAAGCTCACCATAAATCACTGATTTTCTTGTAGTGTTAATAATAAATGATTCAACCTTAATAATTTATTAATGAAAATTTATAATATAGCTTTAATATATAATTTATAGTTATAAATTATATTTAAACATATAACATAAATTAATGATAATTTATATTAAATATATAAATTTATGTGTAAGTTAAATTTTTGTTAAATTTAAATTAAATTTTAAGATAGAATATATTTAAATTTAAAATTACATAAGATTTATTAACGTATGAATACAATTTATTTTCAAATAAAAAATGTATATTATTATTTTCAAAAAATTACCCCATTATTTTCCTATATTGTAATCTCCTTCTCCTCGCAACACTCCAATAAATACCCTCACAAGCCCCCCTCTTCTACACAACTAGCCACCATGGTCTCCTCCGCACAATTCTCCGACGCCATCCACAGCGTCCGGCTATCCACGGTGGTTCCCGGCGACGTCACTCTGCCGAACACCGTTCACCACCTCACCGGCGGCGATCTTGCCTTGAAGCTCCACTACCTGAAAGCTGTCTACTATTTCACTCCAAGCGAGGCTTTGTTGGGCTTAACTATTTCTACTCTCAAGAAACCAATGTTTCCCTTACTTAACATCTATTACCCGGCCGCCGGCAGAATTCGCCGCGACGACACCGGCCGGCCGCATATCAAGTGTAACGACGGCGGCGTGAGGATCGTGGAAGCGTGCTGTGATTTGACAGTAGAGGAATGGTTGGACCGGAAGGAAGTGGACCGGCACCGCCGGCTCTTGCCGGATAAGGCGGTCGTTGGACCGGATATTTATTTCTCCCCAACTGTTTTCATTCAGGTTAGTGTTTTCTTGTCCACTGCGCAATTATGTAACAGATCTAAATTAACAATTAAAAAAAAAACTTATAAATATTATCTCTTCTGCGTTCCATCTGATATGTTGAAATGCTTTAATATTCGTGCATAATGCATTAAATGAGATATATTTTTTAAACCGGAAAAAAGCCTTTGCATTAATTTATTAAAATTTTAATTAGGATATCCCAAATTTATAGATTTTTTTTTAGATAAATCAATAGAAGCCCTGTTTTTTTTTTATGCTTGAATATTATTATTATTATTTGTTGTATTTTATGTGAGGATATTCTGAAATATATTTTTATTACTTATTGTTATTAATGAATAAAATAAAAAGGAATTTAAAACTCTCCAGTTTTTTTTTTCTTTCGAAGATGAACACAGAAAATTCACTAATTTAAGTGGAACAAAAAAGTTAATATTTATGTATAAATATTTTTCATCTATTAATTCATTTTTACTTTTTATGTTTTAAAAATAAATAATTTAACCTTTAAATTATATATATATATACTAATATATTTATTTTAAAATACTAATTATATAATTAAAATATTAAAATACTAACTTATATATTAAAATAAATTTAAATAAAATACTAAAATAGATTTAATAATTTAAAGTTAAATTAAATCATTGACATTTTTATTCCAAAATTTAAAATAAATTTCATCTTATACAAATTTATTAAATATAGTTAAAATATTTTACTAAGCTTTTATTACATTCATAAGTTACTCTATTAAATTGTGGGCCTTTAAGTTATTTATTTAATTCTCAACGGCTTCTTTAAATGAACAAGTTAGAAAGCTTAATTGCTTTTTTGGAGGCCACCCGTTGCCTGGTTGGAAATGATGTGGACATTTAATATTTCTGTCCAAATAAATTCACTTAGAAAAATTATTATTATCTTAAATAATTTTCTCTCTCCAAGCCAAGAAATTATTACATGTGGTATGTGGAGTCCAGATGTAGCTCGCATATGGACTCCAATAAAATCAAACCACGTGATTTATACACACTATGTGTATAACTTGTACACAGGGTGTGTATCAAGTATCTTTACGTGTCTGGACTCCGCCCGTAATAATTTCTTCTCTAATTGAGCTATAGCCTATGGTGTCTAAAAGATTTATGAATTTAATTTACAATTTGAAAAAAAAAATATTTAAATTTAAAAATTATTTAAAATAAGATTAAATTTTAATTAAAATTAATGGAGCATGATAATATATTTAGATAGCTATATATGCTTCATATAATTGCGATATGATAAGGTGGTGTGTGGTTGGGAAGATGAATGTTCAACCAATTATTATGGCGTTTAATGCAATATATAGCCATGATGATGATGGGATGGGAGAAGAGATGAACATTTATGAAATGCTTTTTAACTATGTAAAATTATGAAGATGGTTAGTCAATCTATTCTCCCCTTGGGGGAGCATCAACAACACATATATGACACAAATTAGGGCATCTCTATTTTGATGATTTTGTAGGTATAGAAAGCATAATCATTATGAAAGTACATGACAATGATTGTATTATCTCCTTCAAAGAGGTGAAGAATATTGGTGCATGAGATGAAATGAGCATTAACTATTGTATAGTTATACACTATTGAAGAGGCACACAATAAAGGCACAGTTATGAGCGATAACTAAAAATATCATTAGATTGAGATCATTTATATTATGACAATTAATATATAAAAAAAATGGTAATGCCCCTTCACTGACCATAATAAGATTTTATGTAGTTTCGATCTCATGACCCATTATCTTCTTTAAGGACCATCAAATCATCTTTTTCTTTGCCGTAGGTGAATAGAAATTTTTTTTAGTAGAATGGAGGAGATCAGACCTAGAGTTCTTATTAGTTATGACAGAGGAAGAAGAGGAGGGCTGAGCCTCCAAGTTGGTTTCTAGCTAATGGAAGCAGTGTTCAAACCATACAAAGGCTAGATAAAAGACAAAATATAGAATGGAGAAGAAGAACATAGAGAAAACAACACACAAAAAGGTCAAAGTGTTTCATCTTTTCAATGTATGTTTAATGTGGGAGAGAGGAGAGGAATTCATTATTCTAATGGAAGAATAAGAATAACAAGAAGATACAAATTTTTAGGTCTCTAGCTCTCAATCTCTCTAGGTTGCAAAAAGTTCAATTTCATTAAGCTGTAAATGTGATGAAGGCAACAATTAAGGAGGCCTAAGAAGGAAGAATATAAATTAACTCATTGTGAAGGCGATAGTAGAGGAGGCCTTGGATAAAGTGGCAGTATAAGGAGGCTACACTTAAGACAAAAAAGGAGAAGGGTATATATATGTGTGTTTGTGATACACTATTAATTCAATCTTATAATTTGAAAATATCGCATAATTAATTTATAAATAAAATTAAAATAATTTTATCATGTTTTAATTTGTGTTCATCATACTTGAGATTTTGTTATGTAATCATATGCTCAATTGCACAATGAAATAATTAAACACACACTAAGATGATGTTTCATCAGATTCTTCACTTTTTCATCTTGAATTCTCTTGATTCAACTTTTGTAACACATCCTTAAGCTATAGAGGCTCTGAATGCTTAGTTGAGTAAGCCATCATCTCTTCATGATTTAGATAATGTATATGTAACTAATATAAACAATTAACAAACTATTAGATGACATAGCAAGAGAGTCCATCATATTCAACCTGACATCATAGGAAATCGCCTCAATTTATTTCATCTTCAACTCCTTCACCAAATACTAAAATCATCATAATTAAGTTGTTCATGAGGTACACACTACTTTAAATCCATGTTATCCTACATCTCGCTTATCCTTATACAATATTTATTTCCTTTAGTCTCAACTTCTTGAGAGTAATTATTTGGGGAATTTGAAACTTTCCTAAGAGGTTACTTGTAGTCTAAATTCTCTAGTATTGGGTGATCTTGGAATTCACTATATGAAGCAATCACTTCCTTAGGAAATACCCTTTGACCTTCATCAGCCCAACACCATGATTGATGCTCCTAATCTCGATATCTCAACTATCAATATCCACATCAAACCCAATTTCCCCTACAACCACATACTACTTCAACATCCATGAAATTTCTGGCTACTCACACATGTGCATCGATCCCCTCAAACTACACCCGTCATTACAAGTTAGCCCCTCATTATGGTTCCCCCAGCCTTGTCATGTTATGCCCTAATACAAAAAATAATAATAATAACTTCTGATGCACTATACAACATTTCTCACATTAAAAAGTGATCCTTTAAATTTATTTTATAATCAATCAAATATCATAATATATTTCGAATGCATTGAATTTGCCCTCATGGTTTGCTTTCTTAGGTTATTTGGTTTGAATATTACCATATTAGGAGTGCAAAGTTAAAAAAAAAAACATAAAATAAAAAATATTACAAGATATTTGTTTTTACATCTAACCGAACAACTTATGTAAGTTTAAAATTCATGTATTTCAATTAATCAATATTATATATATATACATATATATATTTTGCATTTCCCCTTTTTGATATGAGAAATTGATAAGCAAGTAAAAAAAAAAAGAGTGAAAGAGAAAGAGACAGAGATAAACCTAACTAAATGCATATATGGCAATAACCTTTTTTAGTTTTCAAATAAAGATGCCTTGACATACAGAACCAGATTAAAAATGCATATTCTTATATAGAACAGAAAATATAGTTTTTGGTTTCATTTGGGATGACTTTCTTAATGCTTCTTAAAGCAGCTTTTTAGTGCAAAAATTAATACAAAAATTTTAATTTTTATACTAAAAAACTGCTTTAAAAATCAATAAAAAAATCATCCCAAATGAAAGCTTAGGCTTCACTTACGGTAACTTTAGATAATTATTTTTTTTCTATTTTTAAAATATTTTTTTACAAAAAAATAACTTGACAAAATAATAAAAAAACTGTCTCAAACGAAGCCTAAGAGATCTTGAATTTGCAACCTCCATATGTAATGTACATGTAAGTTTACCTTTAATTAGCTCAAACATCCAAAAGAAAAAAACAAAACAAAAAAAAAAAACTTACAAACTCAAACATTTTGCAGACTTGCACGCCTATCCTGCAGGACAAAGGATAAATCAAATATGTGGTCATTGAGAACCTAATTAATACCGCTAAAAATGACTCAGAAGGAATTATAAAACTATATTTTATTTTGAATAATTTTCGACATTTCAAATAAATTTATATATTAAAACTTAAAGATCTATTAAATTTAACTGATTCACCTACCAAAATAAAATTCAAGTAATTTATTTTAGAAGTACAACAACACTCCATATTTAATAAGACAGTGACTAGTCTTTGGAATAGCATTTTTCTAACTGAAACTTGCATACTTGAATGTTTTAACAAACCAACAAGGCTTGATAACTGCACTCTTTTATCATCATTAACTGCATTTTAATCCTTTTACGTAATATATTTTATTTATTTTTGTTAACCGTCACCTAAGTATTAAACAAATTCTTTATAAATTATTTTAAGTTTCTATTCATATAAGTTTAATCTTACCAAAATTTATTTTTAACCCTCCATTATATTAACTACTTCATCTAACAAATTTATTTTCATTAGTCTAATCTTCATCATAATCATTAATTATTTCATCCACCTAATTTAATCATATTTATATTCAATTGAATATATATATACACACACACAACAACAACAACTACTACAATAACAACAATTCTTTATCCCACTACATGTGCTAAGCTACATGAATCATTTTTCTCCATTGTGTATGATTAAACTTCATTTGGGACCGCTTTCTTTCTGCTTTTTAAAGTTGTTTTCTAGTACAAAATTTTTGTACTAGAAAGCAACTTTAAAAAGCAGAAAGAAAGCCGTCCCAAACGAAGCATAAGAGTCAAATTCTCATTTAAATCCAATAAAGAAATGTCATTTTTAATATTTTCTAACCAGACTTTCTAAGTCTACCTATCTTTCTTAACATAAGTCAAATCTAATACATCTACTCTCCTAACCGGGTCATCAGAAAGCCGTTGTTTTACGTGATCAAACCATATAAGACCACTCTCTCTAAACTTATCTTCCACTAGGGCTACTCCAACATTTTCACGTATATACTTGTTTCGTATCCTATCTCTAAGAGTAAAATTACTCATCCATCCGAGCATCCTCATCTCTATAATACTTAACTTATTATTATGCTTCTTTTTTAATGGCCAATATTTTGCATCATATATATATATATTATATATATATATATATATATATATATATATATCACTTACCTAATTCCAGACATCGAACCTCTGCTGCTACTATCATATAGCTGAAATACGGTTACTAAATCCCAGCAGTTTTATAGAACGAACTGAATTAGAACCGCCTCGAATACAATAATATTATCTCTATTCTAACTATAGCAACCAAACAGGACCCAAGCTGCTACGTTTGGTCTCTAGATGTTGGATATTATTAGCAGTTTCTATTCTCTTATTTCATTAATGGTTGGTGTCTGTGCATCTTAATCCAAATAAATACAAATAAGTCTTGACAGTTTGTTAGGCACAGTGCACACGAAAGAGTTTCTACAATAGGTACATGGCGTTTTCTGTCAGTACAACCAATTGGAGATTTTGGGGCCTGGGAGGCTGATACTTGACCTAACTTCCATTTATGTGGTTTTAATTCATGATGAATAGATAAATATTTAGACTGAAAATTCCGATAAGAATTTTTATTTATTTGATTTTTTATTTTTAGCGTGCTTATCTATTGGTAGATTTTTCTTTTAATGGACCATATTAATGCTTTCACATGGTTCAGTTTCTCTGGACATCAAGTTGACGTTGTTGCATCAACACTGTACTTTCTCTTCATTGAGATATGATTTAAGTAGATTTGGGCAATTAAACAAAATATAGTGAAGTCAGGAATTATTAAAATTTATTTTATTTTCTTAGGCTTCGTTTGGATAGCTTTCTTACTTCTTTCTAAGCAGCTTTTTAATATAAAAATTTTATTCTAAAAAGCTATTTTAGAAAGCACTACGAAAGTTGTTTCAAACAAAACTTTAAATTCAATACAAGCAAAGGCTGGTATTGGATGCTAACCTATGGACAAGGCAACTACATAATAACTTCTATCACTATTAAGATTTATGAAGTAAGCACAGTAAGACAATGATCGTAGTTAACATCATCAAACAGATTTTCACCACTGCAACTGCTAAGAACCTACACTACAACTGCTAAGAACCTATGGAAGATTATGGGGAAAAAAATGTGGGATTTATGGTCGAGTAAGAATGGATTCAAAGGGTCATAAATGAGCCAAGGAATCAAATTGCGGTCAAGCCAAGTTTTGAAGTAAGCCAAACTTTAATGGAATCATGCCAATTCATGTTGGATCAAAATATGTATGTGTCTATGAATGTATGTTGGTAGATTGAATTTCTAATTTATCTTGAAAAGCAATCAAAATATAATAATACGTCTAAAGTCATGATTAATTCAAATAATATTGATTCAAATTATGTTATGCACTAAACTAAGATTTCGTTTGGGATAACTTTTTTACAGTTTTAAAAAATTGTTTTAAAAAACAGGAAGAAAAAATTCCCAAACGGAGACTAAAACTGTGAACTTCTATGGTATTACACATGAGAATCTTACATGAAAACTACTTGGAATATGCCAGCTTTTAATTTCAGAAAGATGAATCGGAATTATATATTGAAACTTTAAAAGAACAGTAGCTAAAACTGAAGAACTGTATGTGACTGATAAGGAAAACCTGACTATTTAATAAAACTAATTTTCTCATAGAAGTTAAAACGAATTTGAATGTTGACTTTTCTTTCATTAAAATCTTGTAAAGAAAAAATAAGTGAATAGATTAATATGAACATAAAAAGGCATCATTCAACCCAATAATCGGATGAAATTAAGAGCCGATATCATGGTCTATATCTGTATTATTCTCATCAGGTTTCATTCTCTTAACAGTTTACCAGGTTCAAATGTGGGGGAATGGCAGTAGGTTTTAGTTGGGCTCACCTCCTCGGAGATGCAGTTTCTGCTTCAAATTTCATCAATCTCTGGGGACAACTACTATCAGGCAAAGAAATAGCCAAAACCTTCCAGCTCCATAGCCTGCAAAATGAACCAGAAAATTCAGTTGCACCATTACAGGACTCTGTATTGCCCAGCTCATTTAAGCAAGTAAAACAGGTAGGGGATTTCTGGCTCAATTCAAATTTTCGACGGATGGCTACATTTTTCATTGAACTTACTGCAGCCAATTTGAATGATCTGCAAACAAGGATTTCTACAAAAATATCAATATTTGAAACTATTACAGCCCTATTGTGGCAAAACATTTCAAAAATTAGAGCAGAGAAAGAGCCCAAACTGGTAACAGTTTGCAAGAATAGCTCCATTGAAAGAAATGGGATTCTCAGTAACCAGCTAAAGGTTAAGACTGTAGTAGCAAATCCATCACCAGCGAAGGCCGAGCTGCTAGAATTGGCCAAGCTAATAAATAAAGAAGGCATAGACGAGATGAAAGAAATACAAGAACTAGTAAATAGAGAAAGTGAGAAGCTAGATGTCATTCTTTATGGTTCAAACCTCACTTTTGTTGATATGGAATCAATCAACTTCTATGGGTTGGAGCTTAAAGGTCAGAAGCCGGTTCATGCCGAATGCAGCATTGACGGAGTAGGTGATGAAGGAGCAGTGTTAGTGTTTCAAGGTCATGTTAGAACCGGTGGAAGAGTGATATCACTTATACTGCCTGAAGAGGAGATCCCCCAGCTTAAAGAGCTGCTTAAGATTGATTGGAGCATAGAATAATAATTCGCAAGGTTATTTTCAATAAAAATAATTAATTCTATGTTGCAAGCTGAATAATTCCTCATGCAAGCTTAGAGATCTCTGAATAATAAATTGTGCTTTAGGTTATGTAGTTCTTATGTGGTCAGAATTCATGTCCAAATAGATGTTGTAAGGAGGCAATCGAGTTGCTATCAAGTTGTTCAATTACTTATATGTATGATGCATCATTTCCAACAGATTTTAGATCCCAACCAATATATCCCCAACTGAAAACATTCCCATGTCGAATGCTACCATTCTGAAAGACCTTGCAAGTTCAAGTAATGTTTTTGAATATTTCTTTCTCATTAACTTCATCAGCAGCTTCATGATTCCTAAGTCTTCATTTATGTGTGACAAGAGGAACTAACCTTGTTTTTACACATATTTATCATTAAGCATTGCTTCTAACCATAATTTTTGTCTTCTTCTAAATCCTTTTGCATTGATAATAATTATTATCTTGTAGGTACATCTTCCATCCTTCAATATTTAAGTTGAAATCATCGTATTTATTTTTCTTCAATTGTTGTAGACCCGTCATTCTTTCATATATTTATATCTCATCCTCAGCTTCTTAAGTTTCTCACTTGTTGATTTTAACATTCTAATTTCTACAATCCATAATTTGCAATTAATAAATTTTAATGGCCCAATTCTCGGAAACATTAAGTATATCTTATCAAATTACAATACTAAAACATACTCACTTCTTGGATAGTAGTTTTTAGACATATCATTGTTTTAGTTGCACGGTTTTTATTCTAAGAGATCACATCCATTTTAATATTTCTTTTGTATAACAAAAAAAAAAATTCTATCACATAGGCATCAACAAATTCACTAATATTTTGATAGAAAATTATGAAGTTAACATCCAATAGCATTTCATATAATATACACAATGTTTATAATCCTGAAAATCTTATATTTCAAGAATATCCTCCATTATTCTAAGCTGTTTATTCTAGACGGGGTCTCAGTATCTTATATATCAAAATCATTCTATGATTTCTATCTCCAATAAACTGAGTCACAGTACAATCAATTTATCTTCAAATAACATACAACAGGATAACTCGGTCTAAATTAACTTTATACACATATTTATACAACTTAATGGTGTCCTTAATATAGTCGTATTAAGATTGAAAATCTTTGGTCATTTAGTAACTATTTTTAATGTTAATCACTACGTATATATTTTAATACAAATAAATCTCAAAATAGACTCCAGACTATTTGTGTATGGCCAATTTAATCTCATAGTATTACATTGTCTCAATTTAGTCCCTCGACTATACAAAATTGATTTAAAATAGTTCCTTATATTATAATTGTGATATAAAATTGATCTCAATTTAGTTCATTGACTTTACAAAATTTATCCCAATTTAGTCCCAAATGGGACATTTTGAATCAATTTTATATAGTGGATTAGACTAAATTGAAACAACATTACACTCTGAGAATAAAATGATCATATCTGAATAGTCGGAGGACTATTTTAAAAGTTAACCTTATTTTAATAGCTTGAACATAATTTAGAAACACATTTTCTCCTTAATACCTACCAAAACAATTCTCATTATATCACATAACATTTCAAGATTCATAAAAACTATTAAATAGATTATTCTATTGTTACTTATACTTTTTTCTCCATTACCTTCATAAAAAATTGCATCATAGTATGATTCTCTTGGCATAAAATCAAATGGTTTATAAGACATCCACATGATTTTTCCAAGTTCATAATTTATTATTCTATCCCCGCCATTGCATTATATAACTAGAAAGTATCACAACTTGGAGCATCTTTTAATTGGTTCTTTATCCCATGAATTCCAATGTATAATTACTACTACAGCATCAAAAAGTTTCTAAAAGCATCCACCACCTTCTCATAACCTAATGCTTCCCTCCTTAAGGTAGCATTAATGCTCGATCTTGTAACAAAAATTATGCTTCAAATTATTGCATATATTCATAAATATACGACTACATCAAAGACAATCATATATTTTATAAGAAAAAAAATTGTTTGCATATAAATCAAGATTATATGCATGTGAGAAAGAGGTGAATCACACTTGTTTACATGATCAGAACAGGTTAACCTATGGTGCTTACACAAACATGAGCAGGATCAAGCCTACTGAAAATTTGTAAAACCGGTCCATCATAAATTAATTAATCTGGTGCATGTTCATGTGATACATTCGCACAGGAGGATTGCAACCGTTCAAACTAAAAGCTAGAAGATAATCTCGCATAACTACAAAAATTAGCGATTAACCTTATGAAACAAACAGAAGGTTCATTTTAATGGCAAGATAAACAGAAAACAAGTGAAGAACAGGATAAGGTGAAAAGAACAATAAGTAGGCAAAAAGTCATTGCTATCTTAAGAATTCGATAGCTCAACCCATTACAGAATTGAAATGATAACCGTTTAATTCAGTGAGATAGCTACGTAAAAACAATAAACATAATTTGAACATACTCCATGTACTGTATCAATCATACCACGCTTTTTCCCTTGACCTTGCTTCCTCAACACTCGTCACTGGATCTTCAAAAAAATATCAGAGTTATAACATGCCAGCAAGAATGAAATGCATGATGTTATTCAACAATACAAGCTATGATGTTCAATAGAAAGAGAACAGTTACTTAAATAAACCTTTTCTTTATTTTTTGAAAATATAATCATTACAGTTGCTGCTAACCAGATAACACATTCAATTTGCAATCAGTTTTGGTCAGCAATCTCGCTGAAATAGTACAATCAGAAGGAGACTTTTAGTAAATATTATAATTCAGAATAGTAACTAAAATGACAGGTTTGGGGAAAATGACAACTAAATTTTAACTCAATTGTACCATTTTAATAACCTTAAAATCCATTCAAAAAAGGCCTTATACCACAATATCAACCTCCAGAACTTAACATTTTTCAACGGAAAAAGAATTGAAGAGGAGACACTTTTTTTTTTGGTGCCGAAAGAATGAGAGGGGATGAGAGGGGGCATCATCAGCCAATTTGAAAAGGCCTTAAGAGTAATGAAAGCTTGCAGTTCAACAACAAGTCAGATCAGCAATCTCAGTCAATTTCTGAGGTAGGAATGAAACCAATTAATATTGGATTGACAGCTTCACTAAGATTGCTGGATTGCAGAGACAATGCCGGCACTAGCAATCATTGGCATCAATATGAAACCAAATACATCATTTTCCATAGTATCCGGAATTATTTCATAATTACTGTTTCACTGCTATCTCCAATCACAACTTGTGAAATTAAGCATCAACCATAGCTGCAACAGTTTGGAATTAAGTTGAAAAAAAAACACCACATTCATCTGTATATCTATGAATAAAACGTACAAGATCTAGCATCGAGAATAATAGATGAGCCAATCCTACAGATTTCTTTGCATTCAGATTTAGTTAACCCAAGCTATACAGACAACCTCAGTTAATAAATGTCCCTTCTTATGTAGACCAAGCTGATTCTTTCATCATCAAACTTCATATCCGGGGTTAACTTTCTGCTGAATATTATCATAACTTTCAAGTTCATGCATGTCATCCAAGCTCCCTAAAAACAGGGGAAGCCTTTGGTGCAACTCAACTGGTTGGATTGAAAGAATCCTTGTTTTGCCATCAGATCCTCTGCCTCCAGCATGCTCGACGAGAAAACTAAGAGGATTTGCCTCATAAACTAAGCGAAGATGATCCCTTGGATTCATTGCTATCCCTCCATATATAAGAGTCCGGTGGAAATCAGCCACAAGTGAACAAATGTACCGAGCAGAATACTTCTTAGGAAACTGCCCTTTACCTTGTCTAATCGTGTCAATGTATTGCCTTAACCCATTAGGCCAATCAAAGTATCGGGCATCATTCACTGAATAAATTTGTCCTGATAAAAGCAAAAAATAAACTAAGGTGAAATGAACCGATATGATTCTTTCTGGGACAGGGATTCAGAAAATGCAGAAAACATCATCTAAATTCCTTGCTTGGAGAACCTAATGCATTTTATACCAAATTGGATCTAATGTCAGAACATGCAAATCGTGTAACAATTAGTTTACCAGTAAAATAAAATCTAAAATGTAATTTTAGGAAACACCATGAAATTCCTAAACTAATTCAAACATATTACAACTATGCATAGAAAATGTAATTTTAGGAAACACCATGAAATTCCCGAACAAATTCAAATATATAAAAACTATGCACACAAAAAATAAGCAGCCCATGAATAACTGCATTAAGTTCCTAATGCGGAATTTACATGCAGTAAATAGAATGCTACATGCGCTTATAAGGTCAAAAGGTTGCCCTAATGCGGAATTCCAATGCAGGAATGAGTGATAGAACACATTCGGTTGATCTTACAACTATATACTAAAAGAAAGAAAACAATCCATGCAAAACCCGAAATCGTTGATCGTAAGTGTTGCACGCATCTCAATGCATCGCGACGAAAATTAAGTTAAATTTCAAAGTCGTCGGATTTCGACGAAATAAATTTTATAAAATTCTAAGCAAAATTTCGAGCAAATTGGTATAAAAAATCTATAGTAAATTTCACTTAATTTGGAAGTTAAAAATAATAGAAGTTTCATTATGTCTAAAGTGACCTTAATAATCTTAAAACAAAAATAAGGCTTGTGAGGGCAAATAAGTAATTTTAAAATCCATAACTCCCTAAATCATGAAGAGGCCAAATCCCTCCCCATTCGTGCGATTCTTTTGTTCAGCCGAAACGCGAAGAAGGAGAGGGAGGCTGACGAGCAAGGCTTCGGTGGCAGTTTCTGGCGGCCGAATTTGAGGGAAACCGTAGAGGAAGGCTAAGGAAAGACTAAGGTATGTTTTAAGTTAAGAAATTCTTATCTTTTCCATAGATTTTTGGAAGAAAAATTTTGTAGGGTTTTGCAAAAACTTCAAATTTCTTTGGGAAATTGATAGGGAAGATGGAGGGATAATTTTTAAACCTAAAAATGAAGTTTTTCCCAATATTTTTTGAGATTGGAAAGTTAGGATTTTTTATAATTTGTGAATTTTAAGAAAACCCTTTTACGATTTTTGTTTCATATGATATTAGGAATGTTTTAATGGTGGAAAATAAGGATTTTAGCAAAAATTTTAGTTTTACCATTTTTTTATGAAAATAATCTGAAAATTTAAGTTAACTTAATTATTAATTAGGTTTAGGAGGGAGTTCGGCATGATTATTAGATGAAATTAATGGATTTTAGGTTTCCTAAAAATTGAATTTTTAATAAATCCGAAAATAGAATTTAATTAAATTGATTATTGAAAATATTCTATGATTAATGCTTAGTATGATTTTATTTATATTTATCCTTAGGTGTCGATTAAGGGGGCGCCTCGAGCATAAGCAGTGTCGTTTAAGTTTACGGTACTTACGAGGTTGGTACTTGTATTTAAAATAAATTTTATGTTTCTAAATTTTTCTTTTACGTTAATTTTTTTCTTTGTATGTAAATTTCACATGTTATAATTATCTGCATTTTTAGTATTCAAAAAATGTTAAATTTTTGTACTTATGTTTATTGTTACATTAAGTGTTAAACCTTTAAGGTTAAATGTGATGGCATATTTCTTTAACTGAAATTTAGGTAGACATGAGAACATTCAATCATGAAACAATTTAGACAACATATATGAATTTCTGAATGACTTAAGCTCTATGATATATATTATGATTGTATATGCATGATGATTCGGAGTACCAAATGATAAAGGGGCTCTTCGAAGCCAATGGTAAAGGGACTCTTTGGAGTCAATGGAAAAGGGGTTCTTCGGAGCAATGGTAAAGGAATGGCTAAAAAAATTGACTGTGTACCTGATCAGTACAAAATACTGGTACTTCCGAGACATGTGTGTTATATTATGATTAAGCATTTTATGCATTTAATAAAATGTTATGATGAAACGAAGAGTTTATGAAGAATGAAAAAATTTAAGGAAAAAGTTAAAGAAAATTGTATGAAAAAGGTTATATGGTATATGCATATCAAATGTCAAGTATGATTTTTTATTTTATTTTCTCAAATTCTTCTGAATGAAAATTTCATGTATAACGTCCTGTTTTTATTGTTCATGGATTTATGATAAATAACTGTTACATACTGAGCGTTTGCTCACCCTACTTGTAGGAATATTTTTCAGGAGAGACTACTAGAGAGTGATGGTTGAAAGACCGATTACCTACCATCATAGAGGATCCCAGGATGACAGGTTTTTATACTCACGTTATGTATTATGTTGGTTGATGTATCGTGGACTACTGTAATATTTTCAGTTTATGTTTTAAGAGATTTCATGTTTGATGTATTAGAGATATTTTAGTTTGAAAGTTTAGTGGCTCTTTCTTTCATTGTTCTATTATTGGATGATTATTGTGTTTATGTCATTTATGAAATGAAAGTTAAAAGTGTTCTCCGTACGACCATCTGTTCTCGCCCCGTTAATTCGGACTAGCCGGGCCGGGTCGTGACAATGCCCAACCTCTTTTGAAAAACATAGTTGTTGATTAGTCAATTAACCACTGGTAAACAAAATGTTAGATGCGCACAAAAGGTGAAAAGTTTACCCCGAGGTGGAATTCTCATGCAGGGATGTGTGAGAACAAAATCTCCAGTTGAACGATCCAAGGTGAAAGCATGAGTTCCTGACCCAAAGCTAAGGCATAAAATCGTAGCAGATGAATATAAAGCGTAGCCAGCAGCAACAAGTCTATTCCCACTTTGGAGGGCATTAAGCTGCACTTTCTCTTCAATGGGGAGGTGATCCAATTCTTCAAGCCTATTGTAGATCCCAAATATTGTACCAGTTGGAATAGAAACATCAATATTACGAGAACCATCAAGAGGGTCAACTACAACCACAAATGGTCCATCATCAGTAATCCAAACTGGAAGATTATCTTCCTCTGATGCCATGACAGCAACTTTTCCTGAACTTCTAAGTGAGGATAGAATGATATCATTCTGCAAAAGAGGAACTTCGGTCAGTTAGAAATGATTCCAGTATTAATATAAAATATCTAGCCAGATAGACTACAAACTCTGGATTCAAAATGGTTTCTACATATATATTAGAATACTAAAAACCTGATATGAATGCCCTCAAGATTTTTTGCAGCCTCTTATGGGTCCCTTAATCTTGACAACATCTGTTTCTCCATAACTTCCTAGCGTGCAGCTGCACATGGTTGACACTACAAGAAAAATGATCAAATTCCTGCAACGTTGAATCTGAACTAGGTTAAGCTAAGAAGGTTAGCACCTAAGTGAAGTTAAAAAGGTTTGCAAGAAGCTAAGAATGAGAAGTGTTAGAGATCTAATATAAATGGAGACATGTGAAGAGGAGTTGGTGGCATGCAAGGAAACCAGCCATATGAGGGTGTGCTTACAAATAAGGAGATTGACCCATTTTGTTGATCTAAAACCCAAGAAGTTAAGTAACAATAGTTCGTCAGATGATCCAAGAACCTTGGGTACATAAGTGAAAGGAAATTGTGGGCAAAACTGTAGATGTTCCCTCCTCTTTACGCTCTCATTTTGGGTGGGAAAGAACCCCTTTGAAATGACTGCAGTTTGTTGTCCATATGGTAAATTTACTGTTCTAGGCATTTTATCAACTCGAAGCTTCCAGAAGTAAAATTTAGTTGCTAGAAGACTTTCCGTGAACTTGACTTTTCTTCCAAGACAAAATCAAGAGAAAGGACGAGGAATAGGGACCTGATCACAACTTCTTTCTTTGACTTCATTCACTCTTTTGTATAGAAATAGATTAGAAGAGAGTCGGATTCCATCTTCCCCCAAATGTGATTTATCCTATCTCGAAGTGCAACCCTTTTTGTCTTAACTTGAGCGTCTCTTTTAATCAACCTCACATTAAGCTAATCTTTAAATCCAAATACAATTCTCCAGCAGTAAGGATTCAAGATTAATGTTGAAATCCTCAACTATAAAAATCATCCAATTATATTCCTTTTTGCAATCCATTTGTGGTGGTTCAAATAATTTCAAATTTTGACATTACAATAACAACAACAACAATAAAATATCCTCATGTAAAAAGGTGAGACTAACTATAATGCATTTTAACCAATCTTAAGTGAGACTCAAAATAGAATGTAATGAATGAACTTGACCTTCCATGTTTTTCCTTTCAATTTGTCATTCCAAAGAACTTTAAAATTATTTCATCTGAGTACTGCTTAGTAATATTTATATAATATTTATGCGAGCTTAAATTTTATAATTGTATCATTAAATTTACTAACTACATATTATCATTTTTAATTATGTTAATTAAAGGAAATTTATCTTATAACATTGGTTTTTTACTAGGTTTAGACTTTAAATTTTTGCTCACAGTTTCAATGGTATCTCATTAACACATTATATTTCTAAACAAAATCATTATATTTTTTTAGCTCATTTGCTACATTTAAAAACTCATGATAATTATATATTAACTAGGTTAATGAGGCAGCTATATTATACTAATGAATTTGGGCTTAATTCATATTAAATTGGATTCATAGAGTTTCTCAACTGATTCAATATTATACAATATTTTTTTTTATTTCCTAAAGCCTTAATTGTTTTCCTTCTAAGACTATGCATTGCAAGCCAAACTATATAGGGTCCATCCCATTTTGGTCATAAAAGGACCAAATGTGATCCAAAAATTTCAAATAAGAACTAGATATTCGAGTCATTTGAGGAGTATTTTAATTTTTGGAGACTTTTTTTTTCCTTTTTCTAAAACCTTTTTCATTTCATTTCTTCAGCTCAAAACAAGATATGGAATGAAGAATAAATTAGGAGATTATAAAATATTTGTGATTATATCATTTTAAGTGAAAATATCGAAGAAAATCTAAGTGTTCATTAGAGCAAATTTTCTCGACTCCATTTAGCGATCTATTTCTCTCTCAATCTCTACGTTACTTAGCATCATTTCTATTGTTTTGAACAATCTAGCATCAAGATTGTGCAAATTTTATTTATTTGATGTTGGCCTAGTACACCACCAAAGTTCAAAAGAACTTTGAAGTTAAGCTAAATCTTGTATTTAGGAAACATAACTCGTGTAGGAAAGTTGTTACAGTCCTGCTCATTGGTTTAGAATAACACAAGAAGTGTAAGGCTACTCCATCAATTAAGAAGGGGTCTTTCACCTTAAGGAGGTATGCTCTTAAGTACAGTCAATCTTCATGCTATCATTAATAGTTATATTCCCATTATTCTAGCATAGATTCTTTTATATCAAGACATCTATCATGTGGACATTTATGTTGCATTGCGTTGATATTTAATAATCCTAAAAGATTATAGCTTGTGTACTAGCATTAATCTATTTATATTGATCTTGCAAGTCACAGCATTTGCTACTTTTTCTTCTATTCAACATCATAGTAAACTTGTGTGTTTTCTATTGTAAATTGAGCTTAATGTTCACTAGATCATGTGCTAATTGAGTGATATTATACATATTATTTATTGTTTATTCACTCACATTAGCATATGGCCTATTATTCACTCACATTTGTGTGCATTTAGTTGTATTTATTTAATTTGATTATTGTTTTTATTCTAACGATGTCGTTGCCAGCTCCCAAGTCCTGGATGAGAAAAGTGGAGGGTTGCATTAGGTAGTCGACAGCCAGCGTAAAACCTGTCGAATAATAATGACATGAATCTTTTAAGAAATTGTGTTAATATTAGGGCGTCCTCTGGAAGCGACACGCTGTATGACCTGATTACAATGACAAGTGTGCAAGGGCACTGCACTGACGCCCGGGTGCAATGTTAAATAGGCAAGGGTTCCCACATCAAGAAAGGATGTGGGCAAAGAAGCTAGTCCATGAAACTAAATTTAGGATAGGAATTTGGAATATAGGCTCCCTTACAGGAAAATTAATTGAATTAATAGATATTATGATTCTTAGGAAATTAAATATTTTGTGCATTCATGAAACTAAATGGATTGGAGAGAAGGTTAAGGAAATTGATAGTTTAGGATTTAAACTTTGATATTCGGGTAGGAGTCATACTAGAAATGGTGTAGGTGTTATTATAAATAAGAGTTTGAAGAATAATGTTATAAAAATTAATATGATTGGAGATAGAATTATAGCTTTAAAATTTAAAGATTATTGTTAATGATAAGATTGTTAATATTATAAATGTTTATGCTCCTCAAGTAAGTTTGAATATAAGTTCTAAATTAAATTTTTTGAATGACTTAGAATAATTAATACAAAAGATACCTCTTGAAGAAAGAGCTTTTTATTGGACGAGATTTAAATGTACATGTTGGTAGAGAGGTAAATGATTTTAAAAGCATTCATGGTGGCCATAGGTTTGGAATGACAAATGGAGGTGGCAAGACCATATTAGATTTTTATTTAGCTTATGATTTTTCAATTGCTAATAACTTATTTAAGAAAATGAATGAGCATCTCATTACTTATAAAAATGGATACAGTACAACTCAAATTGACTATTTTCTTATAAGAAAATTAGATTGTTTAGATTGCAAAGATTGTAAAGTTATTACAAGTTAAAATTTATGTACCCAACATCGATTATTAGTTTTGGACTTTAAGATAAAGGAGCAGAAAAAAATAAAGTAAAACGATATTCTAGGATCAAATGGGGACATTAAAGAATATTAACAAAAATATTTTTGAGAGTGAGATTTAAGATCTTAAGATTTTATTTATGCATGAAGATGCTAATGTTATGTGGGAAAAAGTGGCTAGTAATATTAAGAATATTACAAAAGATGTGCTTGGATTATCAAAGGGAAAACTCCTAATAGTAAAAATAGTTTGTGGTGGAATCCAAATGTGCAAGAAAAGATTAAAAATAAGAAGGTTTGTTATAAAAATTGATTTAATTTTAAAAATTCGGATAATTAGGAAAGATATAAAGAGGCTCGTAAGGAATCTAAGAAAGCAATATACGATGCATAGACCTTAGCTTTTAGTGATTTATATAATATATTAGATACTAAGGAGGGAGAAAGACATATGTATAAGTTAGCCAAACAAAGAGATAGGAGTAGCAAGGATTTAGTTCAAGTGAAGTGTGTTAAGGATGAAGATCAAAAAATACTTTTATTAGAAGATGATATTCAACAATGGTGGATGAGATATTTTGCTAAACTTTTTAATGAAAATTGTGAAAATAAGATTGATTATAGTGACCTTAGCGCCCTAAATGAAAATAAATATTTCTATTTTTATCGGCGTATTAATAAAACCGAAGTTAAAGAGGCTTTAAAAAAAATGAAGGGTGGAAAAGCTGTTGGACTTGATAATATTCCAATAGAGATGTGGAAATGCTTAGGAGATGAAATAATTTATTGGCTTACTAAACTTTTTAATACTATTTTGAAGACTAAAAAGATGTCATATGAGTGGAGAATGAGTGTGTTAATTCCTATTTTTAAGAATAAAGGTGATGCACAAGATTGTGCAAATTATAGAAGAATTAAGTTAATGTGTCATACTTTAAAACTATGGGAGCGAGTTATGGAGCATAGGCTGCAGCGTGATACTAATGTTTCTCAAAATCAATTTGGATTCATGCCGGGTAGGTCGACTATGGAAGTCATACATTTATTAAGAGGTTTGATGGAGAAATATAGAGAAAATAAGGACGATCTGCATATAATATTTATTGATTTAGAAAAAGCATATGATAAAGTGCCTCCACTTAGTTTTTGGCTATCTACAACCTTAATAGCCAACTTCACCAACAAAATTTTCAGCTCAATCAGAGCAGCCAAATGCTACTCTTATTATGAACAAAACCACTGCCAAAGACCATCGACAACCAAGAGAGATCTAAGAACATCCTCAAATATCTTGCCACTTGATAAAACCCAAAGAAGTTGAATCAATGCTTAATTGAGAGGTAATAATTTCATATGTTGGTGGATATTTTTAATGAGAACCAAAATTGATGCAAGTTAACAAAAAAAAAAAAACTAGTTATTGGATATAAGGAGCTAAATGCATGCAATAACTTTAACCTTATCAAGTATGTTTAAATTTAATTTTCCAACTCAAAATTATATTGAGAAGAAATCCAAGATTTTAGGATGAGGAAACTATAAACTCATTTTTATACATAGATATCTAGTGTTAAAAAGCAACTAATAAAATCTCCCACTTGGAGATTAGATTAACAATGCAATTTCATGAGCGAATAAATACCCACTTCTTTGTATGTCAGCCCAATGAGCTTTCTAAGCTCTTAAAGCAATGTAGGGTTGAATATAATGCAAGCTCAACAAGTTCAAATTGCGCTTAAATTGAAGATATGCTAGAGACATTCAAAAACATATTTTTTGTATGTCATCATGAATCCATCAATATCAAAAGTGCACCGGCCACTAAATTTTCGCACCCCTATTGCCTCTTAACTATAAATATTGCAATAGTATAACCTAGCAGTGGGTTGGATTGTGTAATATAATCTTGATTCTTGATCCACCTGATCATCTCCATACGTCTCCCATAAACCAATTCCTCTTTTTATTTGGGTACCTCGCTTGCAACCAAGAAGCTAACCCTATTCAAATCATAACTTCCCTCTAAAGCTGTAAAGTTGAAGCAACACCAATCATAATTGCACCCTGCAACACATAAGGTTCATCAGCTGTATTCACCTACATAATAACCAAATCACCTTTGAAAGTCTTACAAACTTTATCATCTCCAAAGAAATTATACCCTAAATCATTGAGTGGACTCAAAGAAGCTAAGATCATCTCACATATGACATATGACATATATCTAACACCAACCAATGTGAAAATCTCATCATCATGCACCCTATATTTAACCATGCCAACAATAGTCTTCCATTTAGTGCCATTTCTTATAAGAATATGACTCATAAATGAAAAACATTTCCTTATAGGAACAAATATGGTGTGAACAAGTCAACTCAATAATACATTGTTTGAGACACCAAAAAGGCATCACTAGCATTAGAATCAAACCAATCTAAGCCAACACTTGCATTTACTGACTTATCCTAATTATTTATATACCTCCACATTATTCCCTCTTCAAAACATGTCAATATCTCTTAATATATCATTTCTTCTTGCAATAAAAGAAAGTAATATCCTTGAATCTTCTAGTTTCTTCCATGATTAAAAATTTATCATTTCCCAAAAGATCTCTTACTAATCAGTAATCTCTCAGTTTGCCTTTCATAAATTGGACATTCAAGCTTAGAAATAACATTTTTTGAAATAAGCAAATTATTAGCAATTGTATAAAATAAAAAGAGAAGCATAAAATTAAGTTAAATGTGGCAAAGATGAGAATGCTTAGGTGGATGAGTAGCTTTACACTTAGAGACAAAACGTGAAACGATTATATTCGTGAAAAGGTTGGAGTAGCTCCAATGGCGGATAAGATTAGAGTTAGTCGTCTTGGATGGCTTGGTCGCATAAATGTTGGCCTTCTGATGACCCAGTTACGAGAGTAGATGTATTAGATATGAACTATGTTAAGAAAAGTAGAGGTAGACCAAAAAAACTTTGTTAGAAAGTAGTTGAAATGAATTTTTCATTATATTTAAATAAGAATTTGACTCTTAATAGGACACAGTGAAAAAAAATGATTCATGTAGCTGGCCTCATGTAGTAGGATAAAACTTGATGTTGTTGTTGTTGCTGTATAAGCGAATTGTATCTCAATTATATAACATAATATCATTGAAATGCTTGTAAGAAGGATACAAAGAGCACGACAATAACAAAATTTGATCTACACCATTAACAATCACATAAATATTCCTAACATCTCAAATAATGGAATTAACCTCATTCAAATGTGACAAAATGGGTGCATCTTTCTACATGTAAAGAAAATACCATCTCAGCTATTGATAGAGTTTTTTGGAAAGGCATTTAATCATGTACAAATATCCTAAATTAAGCCACAAACCTTTAGCAATTGTTTCCTCTAAGACATCCAACATGACCTATACCAAACATAGTTGAAACAAAGAGAAAGTTTTATAATCCATCTCTACCTAGTCTTCTTCACTCAAGATCTCAAGAATATATGCACGCTCCATGAGTGCCTTCACATGTCCTAGCTAGACTAAAATACCACACATCTTAGTTCTACAAAGCCCAAAGCTCTTTGAGCCATTGAACTTCTCAATATCAAACTCCAAGTCCATCATATTCCTTTTAACCATTGCTATATTATCAGCTGCTAACAAAAAGAGCACGCCAAACTTCTCTGTTGTGGAAGTTCTGACCCAGAAGCAAGATCAGTTGCTAAGAAAAAGAGCATGCCGAACTTCTATGTTGTGGAAGAGCTGACCCAAAATAAGTGCGATGAAAGACAATGTAATTGTTACTATACACTAGTAAGCCATATTTCATCTCCTTTTAAATGTAAGTTGCAATCATTCCGTCTTCTACATTCTTCCAAAAGCCAACAAACTTAAATGAAGATTGCACTCGTCGATGCCTCCTTATAATCATCAATTGCCTCAAAACCTTAATAGATGACTTAACTAACCCAAACCAATGGCAAACCTCGCAACCATAACCACTACCACATGCAGAGCAATCACCTGGCACCGGCTACTCTTCTCAAAACAAGACTATCTGCCAAAACTGCTGTCCACCAAAAGAGAACCCAAGAACCACAAATATCCAACTATTGGGTGTAGAACTGTAGATTAAAGGAGTTGAATCCTATCCGTCATTGAGAGAAGCAATATTTGCATGTGTTGATGGCTATTTTAAGGGGAACAAAAGTCAATGGAGTCTTCTTAAAATAATAATACTATTTAATATTTATTTGATTTAAGAAGCAAAATATCTGCAACAACTTTACCTCAATCAGGTATGCTAAAATTTCATATTGAAACTCAAAATCATGTTGAGAACAATTTCATGATTTTAGGGATAAGAAAATTTAAAACTCAATATTCTCCAAAAAAAATTTGGGTTAAGAGGGAATTAATCTAGATAGAACGAACTCTAAGAGCCAAAAGTAATTTATTCACAAAGAAAATGACTAAATAATGATAAATGGAATAATGAATTATACGCTTTGAAAGAGTTAAACAATTAGCAGGTGTGGTGGCGTGCAGGCTACTTTTATTTAATACTAACAATAAAGGGATTTACCAGCAACCTTTTTATGCTTCAGGTTTTCATAATAATGGTCCAGCACAAAATTCATGGAAAAGAAAATAAGAAAGCTTGATTCACATAAAACATAAATGAATTTGATAGTACCTAACATAATGTAATCTAAATAACTCTCAGAAAAAATATTAATAGACCGAAACAGAACCTTATGTTGTTTGTTACAAATTTTCTTCAGGAATAAAATTGCGCTGTGTACAAATTCCTTCAATAAGGCTATAATAGCATATGATAATGTGATTACTAAATTGAAACCAAGTGAATTTATTCTTATTGTACCTTATTTTACAATAGGGTACAATGTTGATTGAGCGGCAGACTGCATCTTAGAAGTGGAACATAAGTGGCATTCATGTTGAAAAACTTCTAGATTGTAACTCACAAAACAATTAAAAATTTTCACACCTTGCATGCACTAAAATAAAGATTTATCCATCAATAGTTTTTTTTCCCTTCTCTTTTTTAAGAACCTTCTCAAAATCTTATGAAGCATTAGAGCATAGAAAAATGTCGATGGATAAAATGATCCATTTAGTTATCAGACGAAACCTTTTTTTTTTTACCTACTTGTTTATTTCTCAACCCCTTACTATGCAATTTAATACAAACATAAAATTACTGCCAATTAAAAAATTGTTCAAACTCACCTGCTTAACGGAAAATAAAGCACTCAATTGCCCCTCAAATTACAGTTTGCCTTAAAATCTCCTTCCATAACAATTCATTCAGCAATTTCTTCCAATGATTTTCAGTTAGCTAACCATGACAAAGGACATATCCTTGCAGTTTTCGAATAATATTAAAAAAACCATTAACCCCCAATTGCTTACCTGCAACCTAGCAACTGATAATGATGTCCACAAGCCGACCCAACTTGTTGGGATAAAGCTAAGAATGACGAGAATGTTGATGATTAGGTTCGATTCGGCTACCAAGATAATAAATATGATTTATAAGTCGACCCCAAAATCAAAGACTATCTCTCTTGCAAACGAAGGGCAACTGGTAAAAATAGATAGCTAATATAACATGAAATTTCCTTCCAGTGCTCAATTGAACTTCGGAAAGTTGCCTAATTAGTTACATAAACACAAATGTCAATCGAAATGTCTAAACAAAAAAAAAAAACGACAAGAACTACCGATACTATATCGAGCGGTTTGGGGGCGTCCCTGCCTGAAGATGACAACCCAACTTCTCCATGGGCTGGCCTTCTGCCGAGTTCCAAGTTGAAGGGAGAAGCAACCAATGCCGCAATTCGTTTGCAGGCGTACTCTAGATGGGCGATCAAGATAGCCATATCGTCCCCGACATCGGCCCCTGTCTTCCCGAAATACTCCATCAAGGTGTGCGAGCGCCTGTCATCAAGAAGATCCATCTCGGAGCTCAACGCTTTCACGCACGGCGATATGGGTCTCGCTGTCGGAAGGAGGGGGCTGCCAGTTGCTCCGATGATCGGAGAGGAGAAACTTGAGCGAGCCGGATTGGTGATATTGCACAGAGCTGGTGGGAAATTGAGATTAGGGTTAGGATTTGTGAGCAGGAAAATATGCATTGCTCTCGCCTCTCTCCTTGCGCGGGCACAGTGAAGTGGGTAACGGCATAAGCTTTTGGGAAAAGGACAGCGGGTAATATTAGTTTTGGAACGAGTTTTCTAAGCTACTTTAAGAATCATCAAAAAATTTATCTCAAATAAAATCTCAATTTTTCATGAAAAACTATTATATGTGGTCTCCAGACATAGCTCTAAATCCAGAATTTAATGAGATATTGAGCCTTGATGAGATGCTAAACACAGGCAGTGCAGGCGAGCGTGACAGTGCAAGGGAAAGGAAGTGCGGGCATAGGATTGATGCAGGCAAGCGAGTGCCATGAGGAGAGCTCGGATTTATACTCCTTATAACTCTTATTGAATCAAAAAAATTAGTCACTTAGACTCCTTATAACTCTCAATCAGTTTTCAGCTTCATTATGACTTTCATCAGTGAATCATATGAATCAATAAAGTATCACGTTGGATTATCATATTATATATCTTATATCAATCAATACATTTCACCGGCATTAATTGGACATTCATGTACATATCACACATATCAGTACATTCCACTTTCAGTATACTTTTTTCTCTATTCATTCATATAAAATTCATATATACAATTTTTAGTTGATAAAAATATAGTAAAATCATATCAAATTATTCAAAATGATCAAATCTATAAATCTCATAAATTAAACGCTGAAATATTATGATATTAAGAGATAATGTCTTTTTGACAAATTTAATATAGATAAAAAATGTATAATCAAAAATATTGAAAACGGAGTAAAGATTAGTCACTTACAACAACAACAACAACAACATCAAGCCTTTATCCCACTACGTGGGGTCGGCTACATGAATCATTTTTCTCCATTACGTCCTATTAAAAGTCAAATTCTCGTTTAAATCTAATAAAGAAAGGTCATTCCTAATATTTTCTAACCAAGTCTTTTTAGGTCTACCCCTACTTTTCTTAACATAAGTCAAATCTAATACCTCTACTCTCCTAACCGGGTCATCGAAAGGCCGCCGTTTTATGTGACCAAACCATCTAAGGCGACTCTCTCTAATCTTATCTTCAACTGAAGCTACTCCAACCTTTTCACGTATATGCTCATTTCGTATCATATCTCTAAGGGTAAAGCCACTCATCCACCTGAGCATCCTCATCTCTGCCACACTTAACTTAGTATGATGCTTCAATTTTAATGGCCAACATTCGGCACCATAAAACATTGCAGGCCTAACTACCATCTTATAGAATTTTCCCTTAAGTTTGAGGGGTACATTTCTATCACATAACAAGCCCGATGCATTCCTCCACTTCAACCATCCAACTTGAATTCTGCTGATAATATCCCCATCTATTTCACCATCACTCTGAACAATTGATCCAAGATATCTAAAACGTGTACTCTTATTAATGACTTGATCGCCCAAAGTCACAATCCCCTCACTAGGTCTATTACTACTAAAATTACACTCTATATAGTCCGTTTTAGATCTACTCAAGCGAAAACCTTTAGACTCTAAGGCTAACCTCCATAATTCAAGTTTACCTTCAACTCCCTCTCTAGTCTTATCAACAAGAAGAATATCATCAGCAAAAAGCATACACCAAGGTACATCCTCTTGCAAATGTCTAGTGAGAACATCCAAGACTAAAGCAAAAATATATGGGCTTAAGGCTGATCCTTGATGAAACCCAACCGAAATAAGGAAATACTTGGTTAATTCACCTTATGTTTGAACACAAGTAATAGCTCATGCATACATATCTTTAATGATTTGAATATAAGCATTATTGACTCCTTTCTTTTCGAGAACTCTCCATAGCACTTCTCTTGGAACTTTATCATTTAGGGTGCTAAGGTCACTATAGTCAATCTTATTTTCACAATCTTCATTAAAAAGATTAACAAAATATCTCATCCATCTTTGTTGAATATCATCTTCTAATAAAAGTATTTTTTGATCTTCATCTTTAATACACTTCACTTGAACAAAATCCTTACTACTCCTATCTCTTTGTTTGTCTAACTTATACATATATCTTTCTCCCTCTTTAGTATCTAATCTATTATATAAATCACTAAAAACTAATGTATTTACATCGCATATTGCTTTCTTAGCATCCTTACGAGCCACTTTATATATTTCCCAATTATCATAATTTTTAAAATTAAACCAATTTTTATAACAAAGCTTCTTATTTTTAATCTTTTCTTGCACATTAGGATTCCACCACCAACTATTTTTACTATTTGGAGCTTTTCCCTTTGATACTCCAACGGCATTTGCAATATTCTTAATATCACTAGACACTTTTTCCCACATAATATTAGCATTCTCATGCACAGACAAAATCTTACGATCTAAAATCTTATTTCCAAAAATAGGAATAAAATCCGTAATAGGAATGACGAGCAAATACGACCCAAAGTTCTTTCTTCTTTTTATTTTTCTCCTAATTTAATTTCTTCCTAGACAAGCAACCAGGTAAGAGAGGCGGTGGGGTGAGCCACAAATAAATGTATAAATATAAATATATATATATATATACACACACACACACACACACACTAGTGGCTTAATAACAAAGCACTCTACTTCATAATTTTCATATTAAAATTTTTTGCAACTTATTTTCTATTAAGAAAATGAAATCTTATTTATATTATGAATTAGAAATTTTGAGGTTACTTTGAGTAGACTAAGGGCAGAATTTTTAGCTTAAAAAATTTTGCAACTTATTTTCTATCAAGAAAATGAAATCTTATTTATAAAATGAATTAAAAAATTGAGTCTTTTCTTATTTAAATTTGAAATTAAATTTTGAGCCAGACTAAATTCATTTCAAAATTTTAAATTAGAGTAAATTATTATTCAAGCATGATCTTTCATAACTATGAATTCTCTATAATCTAAAAAATATGTGTTTTTTTAGTATTGAATTGTAAGATTATATTAATATATTTTCTCCCCTATGATTTTAATATAAATATCAAATGTTTCATTAATGTCCAATTCAGCTTGTAACCTCACAGGCACTTAACACATTGTACAAGCCACAGATCAGGTATGCTGTTACTGTTTCCTATGATCTATAAATGCTAAGTAAGAAACAATGAATTCAGTAAATAAAAAATGAGAACAATGTTACCATTCCTCTAATATAAGGTTCGTTTGAGACGGCTTTCTTATTGCTTCTTAAAGCGGCTTTCTAGCACAAAAATTTATAAATTTCAGTTAAACTCTGTCAAAACATTTGCTTCTACCAGTAATCTCCACAAGAGCAAATACCATCTTTGAAATGATGAAATCTGTTAATATCTCTTATTATAATTTCTCTGTCATGAATCTTTGAAATGAACTTAGCTGCTGAGTGACAGTCTCCACAAATCCTGAGATTTTTAGTAATTCTAAGAGTTGCACCTGGGCTTGTGTTGAGAATCCCAAAAGCAATTGCAAGCTTCTCGCTATGTGTTGCCAAATTACATTCTTTTTCCTCCTCATTAACATCATGAAGAACAAAACTAGTTTCAGGCCTGTATCCTGCAGCCTTCATCTTCACAGGAAGATCCTCTAGAAACTTGTAAATCTCACTTGCTTGTGGATGACACTGATCACCTGTAAAGAAAGCATAAGCTTGCCCATTAATCTCACTCCAGCTGCATCCAGGACTCTTCTTCATTCCTTTTTCTCTAAGAACAGCTCTCAGTTTCTTCACTTCATCCCACTTCCCAGCCTCCGCATACATGTTTGAGAGCAAAATATAGTTCCCTGAGTTACTGGGTTCTAGCACAAACAACCTCTTTGCTGCAATCTCTGCAACTTCCAGGTTCCGGTGAGTGCGACTCGCTGCGAGCAATGCACCCCAAATGCTAGGACCAGAATCAATTTTCATCTTATTGGCAATCTCCAGGGCCTTCTGGAGCTTTCCTGCTCGACTAAGAAGATCAACGATGCAAGCAAAGTGCTCATATTTTGCTTCAACAGAATAAACCATACTCATGGTATCAAAATACTTCATTCCTTGATCAACCAATCCTGAGTGGCTGCACCCAGACAGCAAAGCTGTGAATGAAACTGCGTCGGCCTGAACTCCAGATCTAGCCATGTCATCAAAGGCTGATACAGCTTCTGGTCCAAGTCCATGCGAAGCGTAAGCGGCGATCATTGTGTTCCAAGCAACCACACTCTTATCTCCTTCGGATAAACAGTCGAAACAACGACGAGCTTCGACCAAGCTTCCACACTTGGCATACATTCCCATAATTGCAATCAGCACGGTAGGATGTGAATCTAAGCCCAATGTCCTTGCATATTCATGAATCCTCTTCCCTTGATCGAGTGCCGCAGAGTGAGCACAAGCAGGCAAAACACTCACAATGGTCACCCAATTAGGCTTCACCTCTTCACAATCCTTTTTCATTTCTTCAAACATTTGCAACGCACGATCTGCAACGCCGTTCTGTGTGTAACCTGAAATCATGGCTGTCCAGGAGATGACATTTCTCTTCGGCATATCATCAAAAAGATGCTCTGCAACTTTAACAGCTCCCACCATCATGTACCCTGCAATGAGGGCATTCCAAGAGGCGATGTCTTTAAAAAGCATTACGTCAAACAGGCGGTGTGCAAATCTGACCTCGCCGCACTTCGAGTACATGTTGATTAGCGAGCTTCCCACATATACATCAAGCTCGAGGCCGGTTCGGAGACACAGGGAATGGACCGCACGGCCGGTGAAAAGCGATAGGAGATTGGCGCAGGCCTTGAGGACGAAGGGAAAAGTGAAATGGTCCGGGCGGAGGCTGCAGGCGAGCATGGCATGAAAGAGGGAGAGGACTTGAGTGTGGAGGTTGCGAAGGGAGTGGCCACGGATGAGAGAGTTGAAGAGAAGAGTAGAGGGAGAAGGGTGGTGGAGGAGGAGGAGGGAGGCGGAGCGGAGGTCGCCGGAGCTGGAGTACATGGCGGCCATGCGGGCGGCAATGGTGGGGTTGGTATGGACGCCGTGGAGGAGGAGGAGAGCGTGTAGCTGCCGACCATGGCGGAGGGAGTTTGGAGTGCGTGCGAGGACGCAGAAGATGGAGGAATGGAAGAGTGGATGGAGTGGGTTTTGAAGGAGCGATCGGAGGAGGGAGGGGAGATCTTGCTGCATGGACGAGCATCGCCAGCTTCAGCTTACATCCATTAATTAATCAATTTTGAATTTGAGCTCGGGTTAAAATCTACGACATTAAAAGTAGGCTGATCAACTGAATTATTAATTAAAAAATATAATAGTTTTAATTCAAATATGACAAAATAAAATAAAATTATAAAAATAAATGAGAGATTAAATGATAAATAATAAGAAATTATTATTTATAAAGAAGTGGGATAGAATTTTAAATATTTTTAATAATTTATACTTAATTTTTTAATTTTAAATGCATATTTTTTATTCAAGCTAATGATAGGCTAGGTGTTGACTCTTTAGCTCATCGATGTTTAACTCGAGAGCCATTTATTGAGTTCGAACTCAAATATCCACATTAGTCGGCTTGGCTCAGTTACACTAAGGGGCGTGGTGGAAATTTGAATTAAAGCTAAGGGTTGTGTATATTTATGTTGGAAAAATTATATCAAGATATCATTGTTAGAATAATTATATACATTTAATTATGTGAGACGTCGCAATAATTATTTAAGTATGTATATTTAATTATATAACTCATTAAGTGGCCCATATATTAGAATTATTGAAATTTAATTATTTATGTTTAATCCTATTGGTCAAGAAGAGATGATTTGATCATTCGTTTATGGACCGTTTGATCAAATAACTCCTATGTGGTTATTGTAACCAATCTTTAGGAAATAACTCCTATGCGGTTATTGTAACCAATCCGTAGGAAATAACTATCGGCCCTCTCTCTTTCTCATTATATGAGGAGTTGCTTTGCTCCATAGAGAACTAACTCATGAAAGAAGAAACTTGATACGTCCTCCAAAAAATTATCTTAATCCGGCGCGAATC